TGAGAGCAGTATGCCAACCCCGGCTGACGTGGGAATGCCAACACCGCTATTATTCGTAATTATCCACGGTCCCCAGCGATGATGTTGCACCTTGTCGCGGTGCTGGGGCTTTGTTTTCTTATGGGAACTCCGCAGCAGGGCGTTGCTGCGAGCACGACGGAGACCAAGGTGACTTCACCCCTCGAGAAGGTTCCACGCCATGCCCGGTGCGGGGAGGTGAGGCGGTCTGCCTGCAGACTGTCGGTCAGAACTGCACGACCGTTTCGCAGCGGTCACTCCGTTGATATCACCCGTGGCGGTGAAGTCCACAAGAACCCTGGCACCGAGGAGGAAGGCTTCATCAATATTTGGCGGCTTAACATTGCAGACCTCTCGTCCGTAAAAATATTGCATTTGCGGCGCGATTGGAGCAGCGTCCACCTGACATCGTTCTTCTGCAGGAAATAAGTAACCGTGGTGACGTGGCGACGAAATTATGTGGCCATAATGACTACCTCCAGGCTGCGCTGGGCGCGGTGGTGGCGTTGCCGTTCTGGTGCGCCACTCTCTACCGTGCGAGCGCCTGTCGCTCCCTGGCACTGACCTCCTGGAGACCATTGCTGTCCGTGTATTTCCGCCGGGCTGTCGCAGCATTTGCGTGGCGAATCTCTACAACCCTCCCACAGCAATTGGTCAATAATCCGCATTTATCAATATCGTTTGTCGCTTGTGCCCGAAGAGATTATCGCGGGTGACCCGAATTTGCATCGTGAACTCTGGGACAGTCACATATACCATCAAGGACTGGAGGCGATAATTTCGCCGCTGTTCTAATCGATATGGATTTTGGGCTGGCAAATTACCCGAGACAGGCAACACGGATCACACATCGTAATGTCTCGTCCCCTGACGTGGCTGCGTATTGCGCCCTACGCATCTCCCACTGGACATTCGCCCCTTACATGGACTCGGACCACTGCTGAATATCTTACTTGGTAGAGATGGACGATGGCACTCCACGACTAGCAAACACGCTGCCTTGACGGAAGAAAGCCACCTTTGCCCTGCGTAAAGCGGATTGGCCTGCTTTTACATCGTTGTGTGAAACCCTTCTTGCCACTGCGTCCACATGGTTGGATCCTAGCGGAGGCATCTTACGAGCAGCTGGGCGCCATATCCCACGCGGTAGCCGTGACAGCTCCAAAAAGATATGGACACACGAAATGGAACGGGCCGAGTCCGCCGCCGAAGCAGCACACGAAGCACACACATTGCCTCACCCGGAGACAGCCTACTTTGAGCCGAATGTACCCGAAAAAAGGGAGGAACGAAATCAAGCCTTACGCCGTTGCTTCGCTGTGCTTCTGGAAGCCCGCGCGAAAAGACTTGGAGCCTCACCCAGCCCGAGGTGGCGATATCTTCACGGCGTGGCGGCACCGCACCCTCACCCTCTGGAATCGGTTGTGCTCCGCACTGAACTTGGCCGCGTATGCGCTCTGCCTCGGCAACAGGCAAATCTGCTTGTCCGTCATTTTGTGCGGTTTCACGTGCCATACCGCCTTATACTGCTGCTGCTCGCTGCACTCCTTTGGTTCCTGGTGGCTGGGAAATGGATCGGCCTTTCCTGCCGTATGTACTTGACGTGACCATCTGTGACTCTTTGCTTGGCTCAGCCCCTGGCCCCGACGAAATGTTGAATGAATTCCTGCACCGTCTCGAGCCCGTTGCGCGTAGCACACTTAGAACGATGATCCACAACTCCTTCGCAAACGGCAGCCTGCCTGGCTCCTGGAAAATGGGAGACGCTATTTCTATCCCCAAGCCTGGGAAGGATCCATGCCGCCCAGAGAGTTACAGACCTACCACGCTGCTCTCTGTTTTACTAAAGTTAACCGAAGGAATGATTCACCGCCGTCTGTCAGCGTTATTGCCGCACCACTCACGTCAATTTCGGATTTGCACCTCCGCGTTCTACGTCGGACGTGGTGGCACTTGTTGTCGGCAAATTACTCGTGGACTGAATGAATTTGGCATTGTGGAGCATGAGCGCCCTGGAGACGACGCCCCCACAAGGCACCCTCGTCGCCATCGCTTGCTTGTGGTCTCGATTGACATTTCGACTGTGTTCGACACCACTGACCATGGGAATTTATTCTGCATGCTTGACAGACTTCCGCGCCTTGGCCTCGAACCAAACGCTGGCTGCACAACTACCTGCGGGGCCGCTATGTTAGGGTATGCACTCGTGAACAGCACTCCCGGAAACAACTCGCCTCAGCTGGAGCACCGCAAGGCGGCGTCCCGGGACCCCAACTCTTCCTTTACTGTGTGGATGGTCTGCTGCGCCGCCTGGGCAGCATCTATTCTGCCTCCGCATTCATGTAGGCTGACGAACACACACTTGTTGCCTCATGTGCGGACATCCATGCCTGTGCTGCGGCGATGCGACCGCTCTTGTCTCTTGTGGCCACATGGGCTGCCGAGCACAGCCTAAAAATCAACGTCGCCAAGAGCGAAGCTGCTCTATTCTACATCTCTTCACACACACACGGTCTGACGAGGACATGGTCGATCTCCATCTTGTTAGCGGGAACCTGCGTATTCAGTCACGCCCAGTGCGCTTGCTGGGCAACACGATTGATCAACTTCTTAATTCTGTTGCGCATGCTTCCACCGCTTCAAAGAGGACCATGCCACGCCGCTATCAGCTGCGTCTGGTCGCAGGAGCGGGCGCGTCCCATCACACCATGCGATCCTTTTTGATTGGATGCGTTCATAGTGTGCTATTTCATAGTGGCGAGGCAATTGTCCCGTGACTCGCCCCCACTTACCTCCATAATATGGAATTACGGTACCGCGACGGTAGCAAAACATTCTTGGCCTGAGCGCCTCTACGGAAGACACATCCGTCTGTTTGGAGGCCAATATTCTTCCGCTCCGGAAGGTACTCTGGCGTCGTGCGCTCACACAATAATGACGCTATATACGCCTCCATGATCACGAGGATTTGCGTTTCCTTATCTACTCGCAACCTATGCCGCCGTCCATGCATGGGAAAGCGGCGACATCAATCCGCTTCCGAGAGATGCTGCTATTAATGGATTGCTACGCGTCTGTGACATTATTGGGACACCCCACAACCACAATCGCGCGCCTCTTGCCCAACATCGAATTTTTCCTGGGACACTGTGAACTGCAGCGGGGTGAGATTTTATCAGCCACTGTTTGCCGAAGACGCCTCTGACGATGTCGGGCGCACGGCTTTTAATTCTACTCACTCCTCTTTGGGGGATTGTGATTTTGAATTGTGGACGGACGGTCCTTCATACCTCGCTGCACTCGCATCCGGATCCGCTGCGCTATTATACGACTCCACCACGACAAATGATCTCCCTGTGGAGGTACATCGTGCAGCAGCTGGCAGCCTCGCATGCTCATATAGGGCAGACTGCCTTGCGATCGAAAATGTTTTTAGACATCTCATACCTCCTTGTCTGGAAACATCCCAATCGCCCACACGAATGCTGGAGGAAACGGACTCCCTCTCGGCATTGGAGGCACCCCGCGTTGCCCACCGACCGTGCGAGACCGCGTTACTGAGTAAATTTGGATTATGCTGCTTTCCTTGGTGGAGCGGGGTCACCCTGTGGATTTTATATTTTCCCATGACACTGCGGTATTCCACGCAGTGAGGCCGCTGACAAACAAGCCACGATTGCACGATCCCTCTCGCAGGACTGCGTCAATGCCTGGCACGTGGACTTCCTTACCGCCGTTAAGAGGTTATAACGAAAGGATGCCCAGGAGGAAAAGGAAGGCGCGCACACCGCGTGACAGGCGCCTGTCGGTGTGGCGAGGACTCTATTCCTGGTGTTGACCCGGACATCGGTCCCCGAGTGGCGGCACTGCGCACAGGCGCGATGCGACTCCTGCCCACTCTTCGACAGGCCTGCACGCGCCCTGCGGATCACAAGGAACCCTCTGTATCGGTGGTGCCGTCCCTCCCTGACTGCGGTGACCGGCCCGCCTCTGCCTCCGCCGGAACCTCTTCCCGACGTGAGCGCCGCAACTCCTTGTCGACCAGCGAGCGGCGGATTGACGTCCTCCTGCCCAACCTGCGGCAGAGTGCGCTCGTCCGTCCACAGTATGAGGGCACATGCCGGATGTGCTCAGCCTGGCGTTATAATAGTTAGCGAGGGCCTCCCATGCGGATGCCACAATGGCGCCACCGTCTTCTTAACAGGTGCCTCGCGCGCCGGTCGCCACCGAAGTTGCCAAGCATGCCAGCAGGCAAGACACGCAGGAAGCACAAATGCGGGTACTCGAGATGGACCAGGCTCTTCCGCCACCGCCTCATCACGGACGCCACGGGCTGCTGATCCCCGACGGACCACGAGAGACTCCGCCTCATCCACTGCGGGAATGCCCTCGTCGTTGGGAACTGGACTGCGACTGTTTGTGACTGCCCCAGCCCGCACGACGGAATGCTTGCCACTTTTGTACGGACGGCCCTTGCGCTACTCACTCGTTATTGTAGCAGCATACAACCAAAACAAGATAACAAGCTGCTTTGTGGTGAATATTGGCTGCACTTCCCGTGGACCAACAATCCGCGTGGTGTGCGGGGATCTCCTTTTTGTATTGTTACTATGCTTTTGTGTTGCTGTGTGCGCTGCACCTTCTTGTGTGTGTGCGCACCCTCCGTGAGGGGTGCCGACACGACGGACCGCTCTCGCCGCATGTGCATGCGGTGGAGCCTTGTGTGCCGCTCCTGTTTGCTTCTCCCTCTTCCATCTGTGTGTTGGTGTTGCGGCAGGGCTGTGTGTGTGTGTGTGCCTGCTGCCGCGGATTGGCGTGTGTGTCGTGCGTGGTGTGCGGCGTACGGTGCATGCCTGCCTGCTGCCCTCTCCTCATGTGGTGTGCCCTCTGTGTGTGTCTGCCGCACCTCTCGTCTCCCCTGTTGCTCTCCATGTCCCTCACTGTGCAGATCAGCTCCACACCACTGAACGACCACACTCACGATGATGATGACGTGCCGTCTGCTGTGCGCCCTGTTGTTGCTTGCCCTGTGCTGCTGCCCGTCCGTTTGCGCGTCAGCGGAACCGGAGCATAAAGTTGATGTTCAAGCTTCCCAGACGACCACGACGAATACAACACAGCCACCAACTACTAATGACAAGGCTAATACTCAAGCTGTTGGAAAAGGCGCCGGTCAATCGTCTCCACAACCAGAGCCATCACACCCGGCCGCCGGTGAGCCAGGATCGTCCAGTAATGCGGCCGCTGCAAAGTCGGGAAATGGTGGCGGAGGGGGACCAGGATCTAGCAGTATAGGAACGAATTCAAATGAGGTGCCCAATACGTTACAGGACAAAGGCAAGGACGGTACGACAGGAAGACAAAGTGGCACTAATACATCCGCCGATAAAGCAGCTCAGGAGGCCAAAGATGCTGCCCAGACGACCACTACGACCACAACAAAGGCACCAACCACGACGACCACCACTACAACACATGCACCAATTACTACGACTACAGAGGTGTCAACTACAACGACCACCCGCGCACCGTCACGTCTTCGCGAAATCGACGGCAGCCTCAGCAGCTCTGCGTGGGTGTGTGCCCCGCTGGTGCTCGCCGCATCCGCGCTGGCGTACACCGCTGTGGGCTGAAGAGGTGTGTGCGGGCTGTGCGTGCCAGCACTCAACCGCGGGGATTTGTGCGTGTGTGTTGTTGTTCACTGTATAAAATAAGAGGAAATAATGATCTTGTTTTGCTTCACTTGCTTCTGCTGCCGTGCTGTGTGCTCCGCGTTGTGCCCCGCATCCGCCACGTTGAACGCATCGCGGACACACTCATATGCATGCGCACTGGAGCTCTGGGTTTGTTTTTCTTTTTTTAATTTTTCTTTTTTAATTATTGTTTTTTATTGCTTTTAAACTTGTGGTTTGCGGTGTGGTGTGCGAGCTCTGCAATCGTACTGATTCAATGTGTCTCGTGGTGTGTGCGCTGCTGCTGGGGTGCTGCCATTTGTTGCTGTGCGTGGTGTAGCGGCTGTGTCTATCTTTTTTCTCCCCTCTCTGTTGACGGGGAGTTACTTTTGCTGAAGGCTACACGCAAGTGACAGGAGTGATGGCGATGATGACTGGCCGTGTGCTGCTGGTGTGTGCCCTCTGCGTGCTGTGGTGCGGTGCCGGTATTGGGCACGCAAGGGACGAGTACGGAACTGAGGGTTGAGGAGATGTGTTGACGCGGACGAATAATGGTGGAGGCGACGGAGTGTCTCTAAGTGCGGAATGCCGGTTATTATCCACCTGAATTGGACTAATGAGAGCTGTTGAAGTTGCGGACGACGATGATGCGATGAATGACACATCCTCAGCCCTGGCTCAGCCGGCACCTCAACGTGGTGCCAGGGTCTAGTACTCTTTGCTAGAGAGGAAGCTAAGCGCCTGCTGTTCATGCTTCAAACCCGATGAGTAGTTGTTACTTAGTTTTACGGGTCGGAAGGGCAGATGTTGGAGCCATTCTATAGTGGCTGCCCGCGGAGTAAGGTTATCCTCGCTACTGAATTCCTTCGTACGCTTACCAGAGCTGCACAATTGAGGTGTAGTTAATACGACTGGTAAGAGAAGTAAAAAAAAAAAAAACACATCCTCAGCCCCTGGCTCAGCGGAGAATTCCGAGGAGTCAGCGTCTGGTGCCGAAGGAAAAGGTGCCGCAGGTGCAGCAGCACCCTCGCTGGACGCCGGCGTATCAGAGGCGGATGAATATAAGAAGGAGTCCAATGCATTTAAGCCAAATGCAAATGCAATAAATACGGGGATCCTACGAAAGGTGCGGCAAATGAGTTTTGATTTTGCACCGCCGGTCAATTTTCTTCTTAATCCGGCAGCACTGCCACTCCACCGGCTGGGGGAGAACCCCTTCCGAGGATAATATCCAGCCGGAATGAATGACGCAATGACACACCGAGAGGAAGGAAAACAAATTATTGCGATAATCCTTGCAGTGATGGAATGGGGAGGCAGAACCAGACGGAGAACATGAAGAAGTGGAAGAAACAACCGCAGCAAGGACACGATGGACAAGAATTGCAACAGTGACAACAACAGCAATAACACGAATAAGAACAAAGTGCACTGCCTGCCTCACTCACTGTGCCACGGGCAACGAGAAGGCTACAGGCTCCCGCACAGCTACGGGAGCTACAACGGGAGGAGCTCGCCGCCGGCTTAAAAGAGCGAATGAGAAGAAACGTCTTTTAAATTGTCATGCACAATACAACAAAGGTGCTTAACGACCCCACATCACCGTACGCTTCTGTAGGTGCTAATGGTGCTGCCACTTCTGTGGCGGACGAGGAAGACGCGAAGGCTCAAAAAAATGCTGAAACCACTCAAAAGGCATCAACAGAAGAAGTCCGCCAGACATGAACATCCCGCGGAAATGGCGAAGACAACCACCGACGCTCAAACAAATGGTACGGTGACAAAGGTTGGCGACAGTGACGGCAGCACCGCGGTTTCTCAAACCACTTCCCTTCTTTTGCTTCTTCTTCTTCTTGTTGCGTGTGCGGCTGCGGCTGCGGTGGTGGCCGCGTGAGAGTGAGTGTGAGAGAGCCGTGCACCGCCCGCACACACGCTCGTCCTTCTCTCTCTGTGTGTGTGTCCCCTTGCATGGACTCTCGCCCTCACCTCACCCCACGAGGCACACACATAATGTGCCCATTGTATATATGCATGCACACCCATGCAGGCCCGTTGGTGCTCTCTTTTGCACGACACGCACCGCTGCCGTCCTGCCTGGCTGCATGGGCGGAGCACCGTAACTGTTTCTGTTTTGTTTTTATTGCATTGAGTGGGCGACCTCTCTCTCTCTCCCTCTGTGTGTGTGTTTTGCTTTACGGGAGCAATGAGAGTGTGTGTGCGCTGGTCATCCCACGCTTCGGCTTTTTGTTTTGTTTTTTATTGTTTTGTGGTTGAGTGCACCCATTCCGCGGCTGCGTGTGTGTGTGTGTGTGATGATATGAGTAATTTGCGTGTGTGCTATCTGCCTCTCTCTGTCGTTGCTTTATTTACACTCTATTGTGCCGCGCGGCTGCTCTGCGTGTATAGGCGCTGCCAAACACACAAGCACATGCAAATGCACACACACGCCATGTTGCACGCATGTGGGCTGCTCCTGCACTGCTAGAGGAGCTCTCGGCGCGCTTTGGAATGTCGCAGCGGGCACCATTGGATTCGGTGCGTTGGCGCCTGTGGCTGCCTTTGTCGACGCTCCGATCCGCTTTTTTGGAAGTGCCGGCGTGGTCGTGGGGCGGCGGGGGAGCAGCTGCGGACACGGTGACCTCAACGCGGTGAGTTCACAGTAACTTCCTTGGCCAGTGGCAGTGCGGATGGAACTGTCATAATGATCGCACCGCCGGCACGCTTGTTGTCGAGTTCCCCGAAAGGAGAGCAGTGAAAGAAGGCCCGTCCGCATGACTCTTTGCATCTCCGCCTCAGGGCTGCACATCACAATTGGAGTTGCCGTGCAGTTATACAACAGGGTATGATCTGCTGGGGGAGAGCGCTGTGCGATGCTCCTGCACGTGGGACGGGCGCTGTGCAAATGGTGGCTGTTGAGTGGCCGGTCACACAAATATTGCGACACCACAAGGAGAGCAGACCAAACACTCCGCGTGCAGGGAGCGTTGCGGCTGGTGAGGACTCTGTGCGACGGTGATGGACGTTTCCTCGACGACGGATTGACGGTTTTTTCCTTTGATGGAGTCGGTGCGCACGCGGTGTGTGTGGCTGCCTCTGTGGTCTCCTGTTACTCCGCTGTTTGTTCCGCATCCTGACGCAATACTGGCCCAAAGCCATTTTATTTTTCTTTACTCTTCTTTTTTCTTTGCCTCTCTTCCCACAGCCAGGCTGCACTGCTGCTGCTGCTGCTGCTGCTACTCACACGAAAACCAAGAAATGCATTTTCCTCAGGTCATGCGCCAGCAACGGCACGACACGCCGCTTTTCCCACTCGTGGTTTTGCTGCTGATGTACTGCGCCAGTGGATGTATTGCTGCTGCACCCGCCACACAGTACCGCTGTGGGTTTGACGTGAAGAGGAGGAGGAACGGCCCGTTGCCGACTGCGGTTGTGCGCGAGGTGCCGCGCAAGGGACAGGGCGCGATGCAGGCGTACACCGTCGCCACACAGGATGACGACAGTGACTGGAGGCCGATCCGCATGGCGGTGTCCACGGAGGATCTGGAGAGGCACGAACAAGAGGAAGAAGTACTGCGAAGAGGGAGAGGATGAGTGCCAGAACGCCTTGGGGCAAAAGGTATTATGCAAAGCAGAGCATGTCTTGGCGGAGGCAAAGAAACAATTGTACACTGGAAAGATTCTACCTGGTGCCATCAAACTGCACGCTGAGCGGCTACTTGTGAAACCCACTGGTGGGACGATAACTGTACCGAGGGCCATGAATGGACCGTGCAGCCACTTTACGGTTCCTACCAGGCACAAGAGTGACGGTGTGCCGAATGCAGATTTTATCATCTACGCTGCTGCTATGCCATCAGGCACTAAAAGCAGGGCTGTGTGGGCGGCCACGTGTATCACATGGAGTGATTTTCGCCCCTACATTGGCGCCATGAACTTTGATCCGAAGTACATGACTGACACGGCGTGGAGCGTTCGCGTTGCCGCACACGAAATTGCGCATGCACTTGTGTTCAGCCAGGAGAGCATGAGAGAAAAGAGCCTGGTGAAGAAGCGAGAGAGAAGTATGCGTGGGACGCACCGCAGGATGGTGGCAGGGAAGCACATTCAGGAGAAGGCGGAAGCGCACTTTGGTTGTGACTCTCTCGAGGGAATGGAGCTGGAGGACGAAGGTGGCACTCGGGAAAAAGAAATCCCTCACTGGAAGGGACGCCACGCGCGGGACGAGCTGATGGCGCCCACAGTTGGTGCCGGCTACTACACGGCTTTGACGATGGCGGTGTTCGCGGATATGGGGTACTACCGCGTGAATTGGAGCATGGCGGAGCCGATGAGCTGGGGCCACCGCAGTGGCTGCGACTTCCTGGAGAAGAAGTGCAATACAACCGATAATCTTGCCGCCAAGTATCCTCACATGTTCTGCGATGCTACTGACAATGAGACACTTCGCTGCACCTCCGACCGCCGTCACGTTGGGACGTGCACCGCAACCATCGTTGAGGACAAAGGGAGTCTGGTGGATAAGGATGTTTGCTCTGTTGTTTCTTTGGAATTTCACGAAATATCGTCCGGGACAACGTACATGACGTGCTCGGACGAAAATGTGACTTCTCTCCGTGGGTCGCTGACTGGCGGTGGCTCGTGGTGCCTGGATGCGGAATTACTGAAGAAGAAGGACGATGATGGCCATAAAAGCGTCAAAGGAGTGTGCGCGCAGGTGTAGTGTGAGGAGGACACAGTGAGGGTGAGGCACCTCGGCAGCAAGGATTTTCAGCCTTGCCCTGAGGGCTCTGTAATCACAGTGACGTTGAATGGTTTTGAGGAGGATGGGAAGATCAAGTGCCCGAAGTACGGCGAGGTGTGCACCATTGCCGCGAACGGCAGCAGTCTTGTCATTCCGAGTGCGTTGGTGGGTGGACAGGGTGACGAGCAAGAGGAGGAAGCAGAAGAGTCTGCGGTTGCTT